CCAAGAATTATCATTGGCTTATCATTGGAGTTACAAACTTTTGTTAATTGTTGTTAGCCAAAGTAAAAGCCTAAAAATACGTATCGACTTTGGATTGTTTTGGAATTGAATTTGAATTTTATTTAGAAAATAAATACAAATTTTTATATTTTTTTTGTAGGGAAGTTAGTTGGTTGATGTTGTCTGGATTTGGTAGTTTTTTTGTTGTTGTAGAGTTTTTTTTTCGGGAAAATAATACTGTTGTTGTTTTTTCATTTTGGGGGGTTTTAACCCTACACCACTATGCAACGAAGGAAGGGGGCTTAAGTTTACCGACAAATTTTCGAAGGTCTATCGATATTTTCACAAATTTTTTAAAGGACCTTTAGAGCTTTATAATTCAATTTACAAATGGTTTTTAAAGGACTTTGATGTACTTTAGAGAACATATTTTGGTTAATCTAAAAGGACTTACCAAGGATATCCTTTAAATTTGTGTTTAGAGTCAGGTACCTTTTGAACTGAAATCCTTGATTTTTTTAACCCTTTTTAAAAGGACTTTCAGACTCCTTTAAAAAGGATCTTCCGAGCAATAGTTGACCTTTTAACCTGTAATCTTTGATTTTTTAAACATATTTTTAAAAGTCTTTCAGAGTGCTTTAACAAAGGTCCTTCAGAGCAATAGTAATTCAATTTTAAAGGATCTTTTTAGCTGTTGTCCTTGATTTTTAAAAAAAATCGAACTAAACAATGGGAAATCGAGAACTAGATTTTTGAAGAATATTTTTTATAAAGTCCTTGAATTTTTAGTAACATGTTTGAAGGAGCTTCATGGAAATTTTTAATTAAAATATTTTTTTTTGAATATTAAATGGACTCTTCAATAACATTTTCCAAGGAAAGTTCGGAGAGATTTTTATTTTCTAAAGGACTTACGGTGGATTTCTAAGTAAGTAAATTTAGTAAATTTAAAAAGGACATTTTCCTGGGATCTTCATGTCTATAATTTGATGATTTTCGAAAAAATATTATTAGAATATTTTTTGAAGCTCTTTAGACCTAAAAATTATGGAATTTTAATAACATTTTTTTTTGGAATCTTGAAAGAGTGATTTTTTTAGAATTTTGCAGGAAGGACTTTTAAAGTTTTTAGACTAGATTTTTTCAGGACATATTTGTGAGGACCCTTAGTCTTAAAAATTGGGAATTTTTGAAACAAAATTTTTAAAGGCCTGTGAGCATTTCTACAGAATTTTTTTAAAAAGAATATTTTTTAGGTCCTTTGGCAACAGAAATATTGAATTATTAGGAATATTTTCGAAAGGACTTGAAGGGTATTAATCATAGACTTTTAAGGATTTTTTTAAATTCAGTTAGACCTGAAACTAGGGATACTTCAAAAAATCGTTTTTGAAGGACTTTTCAAGGATATTTTCTTAAGGTCGTTTGGATCTTGAAATAGTAGATTTTTTATAAACTCCACCATTCTATGGAGGGTATATTAGCTTTGTCATTCCGTGTGTATACATATAAATTCTGGATCAGCGAAATTCTAAGACGAATTTGTTCTTAGAATTTCGGATTTCTTCCGTCTGTCTATGTGTCCCTTTGTTGTAAACACGTCATCTTTCAAACGAATTGAGACAGGAGGCTATAATAAATTTACCCGAATTGTTTAAAATTTCGTATTCGTATACCCCTAAAAATTTCGTATGCACGTCCACGTCTTCGTATAGCCCCCATATAACGGTACCTTTCGATATTCGGTATTTTGATGATTTTAGCGGTATTTTTCGCCGGAATTGTTTTAAATTTTGTATTTGAAGTTTGTAAAGGGTATTACAGTCTTTGCCTAAAAATTTCGTATAGCCCCCACATAACGGTAAGTCCATGACTTCGTATAGCTCCCACATAACGGTACTTCCCGATATTCGGTATTTTGATGATTTCAGCTATAGTATTCGTCGGAATTGATTTAAATTTCGTATTTGAAGATCTTAATGTGTACTGCAGCCTATTCAGGTTCCTGTCTTCGTATAGCCCCCGTATAAAGGTCATCATTTAAATGGTATTTTTTTGGAATTTTTTGAACGTTTTCAAGTTCCAAATGGTGGAGGGTATTCAAAGTTCGGCACGTCCGAAGTTAGCTGCTTTTTTACTTGTTTGGAATAGCTTCGGTTGGACTTGGAAGATCACAATTGTGGATATTCTAAGGAGTTTTGGAATTCTTTGATGCCAAGAAATAGTAAATTTTTGAAACACCATCTGATCGAGGAGTTCTGAAAACCGTTTTTGAAATGACTGTGACGTTTCTGGGGTGGATTTTTAAGGATATTTTTTAAGTTCGTCAGATCTAAAAATTGGCGATATTTGAAACGACTTTTTTTAGAATTTCTACAAGTGTTTTTTCATTGGACTTTTAAAGGATTTTTTTTAAAGATCGGGTAGATTTAGAAATATAGAATTCCTAGAATAGCTTGGGAGAACTTTGGCATTTTTCAGGGTCTTTTTATTTAGAAAAAGACGATTTCTTTTTAGGATTTATAAATGACATTCAGATCTAAAATCGAGGATTTTGCAAAAATAAAATTTAAAAAGAATGTAAGCGTTGCAGCAGCGAGCTTTTCAAAAAATTTTTTTTTTAAATTTCAGATCTAAAAACTTGAGATATTTAAAAAAAAATTTAAGACTGTAAGCTTTCCTTTTTAAGAATATTTTTGTAAGTCTTTTAGATCTAGAGATATTTTCAAAAAATACTTTCGGAAGAATCAATAGCACACATTTTAGAATCCCTTTTATCCAGAAATAGGGAATTTTTAATAGAAATCTATAGATGAAAAAGTGGCGATTTTGGAGAAATATTTTTAGAACTCTCAACAGTGAAATTATGAAGGTCCTTTAAGACCTTTCAGACTTTATTTGTTTAAAATAATATTTTTGAGGGGGTAGCGAGCGTTTCTACAACGATCTGTTCGATGACACATCTGGATGGTCCATCAATCTGAACTTTTCAAAAATCTTTTTTAAGGTTTTCAGATTTTTTATTAGGGTATTTTTAAAAATCTTTTTTTTAAGACTGTAAGCGTTCCTACAGTGAACTTTTTAAGAATATTTTGAATCGTTTTTATCCAGAAATTGTCGATTTTTGAACAATATTATCATATCTTTCCACAGTGAAGTTGGAATCATATTTCCTGAAGGTCCTTTAATTTTTTAGCGTCTTTTTAAAATTAAAAATATGCGAGCATTCTGATCTTAAATCGGAAGAATTAAAAAAAAAATATTTGGGATAGCGAGCCTTTCTACAACGAAATTTTCGATGACATTTCTGAAAGGTCCTTCAATCTATAAGTAGTGGATTTCTAGCAATATTTCTGGAAGGGCTATGATGGTCTTAATCATAGGTTTTTAAGGATATTTAATAGTTCTTCAAATGTATAAATCGTCTATTTATTGCAATATTTCCAATGTTGGAGCTCTAAGTTTTTTTTTTTCGAAATAATTTCCTGCGTTTTAATCATTAGTTTTTACAAATATTTTTAGAAGAACTGACTCCTGAATTATCTAAATTTTTTTTGGAAGCAATTTCTGTGTTGGATTTCATTGTTGGATTTTCGCCAAACTTGATCTATAATCAAAAATTTTTAAAGAAATATTTTTTTGAATATTCTTGGAAGAGTTTTTAAGTTTTTTTTTTTTGGAAAAAGGTTAAATCTCTTTTTTTTAAGAAAATGTTTTCAAATATTATCACATCTAGAAATAGAAAGAAATCCTGGTGTTTTAAAAATATTTTATAAAAATATATCGTTGAAGTGGTGTAGGGTATGTTAAAGTCGACAGTGCCGACTACTGTCGTCTTTTGATTGGTTTTTTGATTTGGAGTTTTTTTTTTTCTGGGATTGTTGTTGTTATTGTTGTTACTGGTTTACTTTTGGCAGTTACTTTTGTCTTCAAAGTTAAGTATTTACGGATTGGGAATGTGGTTGTTGTAAATGGTTTCGCAAATTTTTACCAAATATTTAAAAAAAAATACTTTTGTTTTTTTTTTGTTTTTGTAAATTTAAATGCTTATAGGTTAAGTCTTAAGGTTAAATACCGAAAAAAGCTTATTACAGCTTTAGGCTTGCTTAAGCTTTTATGTTTATATTTTACAAGACTTAAATGCTAATGTTTATCATCGTTAGAGTATACAAAAAAGAAAATTAAAATTATTAAACATAAAAAATTTACCAAAAAATAATTAAATAAAAAAAATATAAACAAAAATAAAAACTAGAAAATATAGTAGTATTTATTTGCGAACCTGTCCCCGCTATCGGCTCCAGTACTTGGACCTAAGCCATCTGGACCGCCATCGGCTTCTGAAGACGAGCCACGCGACAGTACCCCTCGTATCTCACCTGGTATCACTTCTTCACTGCGATTCACCGTAAATGAGCTTTTTCCCTTCTTTCCAAAGCCCATACGTCTTTTACGACCTTTTCGATATTTTTTTGTGAAAGTTTTTTTTGTTAGTTTTTTTTTTACAATATTAACATTTTTTTCAACAAACTAAATGATGTGATTTTATTTTGGTTAAATGCAAATGTTCAAATTGTTTTTTGGTTTTTTGTTGGTTAGAAAACGAATTATAAAGCGTACGATTTTTTTGGTTAGTTCTGAACAGTTTAACTAAAGGAGATTTTAGTGAAATAAATAAAAAGTTTATAAAAATGATTTCTAACTGAATGCCAAAACTCAACAAGGTAATGAAAACATTTAATTATTAGGAAAATATAATTGAAAACTTTATAAAAAAATATATATTATTTTTTTTGAAATTTGGGAACAAATAACGGCCACGACGTTTCTACAAATAGTTTGCTGGGTTATGTATTTCTTGAAATCGTGGTATGATTGAAATTTTTTTGTTAGTGTGTTACTAAGATTTTCAGACTTATTTCTTTTTTTATATATGTACAAAACGTAACTGCAGGTTAAAAGTGAACAGAATTTTTGGAACATAACAAGAAATCTCATACCTGTTGCCGATAGCTGTGATGTGGAATTGGATTTTTTGCCCATGCCACTGCCACTTTTGGGGGAACGTTCTTGGTCCGCAGCACCTTTTTTGCGATCTTGCGCCGTATCGGATAGACTGCCATCTGTGGGAGGGGGAGATGATAAAAAAAATATATATTGAAATGGTATCGAAATATTTTTTTCTTCAAATAAAATATTTATTTTCATGGGATTTTTGAATAATTTTATCTGAAGATTTCGGAATAAAAACCGAGCAGGTTTTAATAGCATTTTCCAAGACTTCTCAAAAATATTTTTTCAGGGATCAATTATGGCCAATATCTGGGTTTTTAAAAAATATTTTTTTGAGAAAAATCTAAGAATAAATTTAAAAATTTTTAATCCCTTGAAAAAAACGAGAATTATTTGGCAACATTTTCTGAATTATTATTATTTTTTTTTCAAATCAGAAAACGTTTTCAGATAGTATGGGTTATTAAGTTCATCATTCGGTTTGTAACTCATCGAAATAATAATTTTAGATCTAACTCTAGCGACTTCTAGGACGATTTGGACCTGTCCGTCTATTGTAATCACTATTGTAATCAAGTCAAAACGAATTAGGATAGGAAGCTAACAATTTGCGCAGATCGGTCTTTTGCCAGGTAAAGTTTGAAGATGGGCTACACCCGCCCACGATATCGTATAGCCCCCATGTAACAGTACCCCCGGTATTCTGTATTTTGATGATTTTAGCCACATTTTTCAAGGGAATTGTCTGAAATCCCGCACAAGGAGTTCTTTGTAAGTACCTTACCGCTGGAATATAATTTTCTATATAGGCCCACGATATCGTTTTTAAAGGGTACCTCACGATATTCGGTATTTTGATGATTTTAGCAACATTTTTCCGGAATTGTCTCTCAACCCACCCCAGGGGTTTCTTCTGAGTAATTTAACTCCTGGAAGAGAATGGTCTACATAGGTTCACGATATCGTATATCCCCCATATAACGGTACCTCCTGATATTCGGTATTTTGATGAGTTTAGCGACCGTTTGGACTGGAATTGTTTTTGATCGGATTGATTGTATTTAAAGTTTAAAGCCCGTAACGAGTATTATAAGCTATGATGGAAAATTGTCTGCAGCCCTTTATTCGGTATTTTCATGATATTAGCTACATTATTTAACGGAATTGCTTCAAATTTCGTATTTGAAGTTCGGAATCGGTACTACAGCCAATGACAACAAATTACTTGTACAGGTCGACATCTTCGTATGGCACAATATACTGGTTTTCATTTAAGTGGTATTTTTCGACGGATTTTTGTTGAAATTAAGATCCTTCGGTGAAAGGTGTTATAAGTTCGGCCCGGACGAACTTACAGCTTTTTAATTATTTAATTCATGGTCCAATAGCCCGGGGAAACCGTAATTCAAAACCATTTTTTTTTTCAAGGGGCACCTGAACCGAGCGTTTTTTATGATTTTTACGAGGATAAATTATTTTTAAAATTCATTTCAGTTCTATCTGTGCCCGAATCGTGGACTTTTTAGGATTCTTCCTCAGACTTTTATTTTCAAAGACCACCTGAGCCCAGAATATAATAAAGATGTATTGAGACCTATAATTATTTCAAAATTAACCCCAATATGGCTACAGAGGTTATATATCAAAAAGTGCCTCATCAAAATACTGGTGTTAGACACCATCAAATCCGTTTCAGGTGTCCGTACGTCTGGCTTGTGCGCACTATAGCTCTCGATGGGAGTATCCGATTTGGTTCAAACTTGGTATAACGGCATATTACTATCAAATCTATATTGAGTTCGGAGATAGGCAATACTGGTCCACTCCTTCTGGTACCTCCCCCACAAATGTTCAAAATTGTCATAGAAAATAATTTACTTATAGACCAAGTGCGGACCATCCTATTTTAATTAATTGAGGTTTGAAAAAGGGTAATATCAGCCCACACCATCAAGTACTTCCCCCACAAAGGGTTAACATTTTGAATAATTATTAAATGTGGAATAATATCCGATTCTCTTTAAATTTCGCACATCTCAATATTATTACCACTGCAATATCTGATAAAATGAGAAAAAGACCTTCAGAGCTCTTCTATGAGAAAAAGACCTTCACGTCTTCTATGAGAAGATCTTCACAGCTCTTCTATGAGAACACCTTCACAGCTCTTTTATGAGAAGATCTTCACAACTCTTCTATGAGAAGACCTTCACAGCTCTTCTATGAGAAGACCTTCACGTTTTCTATGAGAAGACCTTTACAGCTCTTCTATGATAAGACCTTCACAGCTCTTCTATGAGAAGACCTTCACAGCTCTTCTATGAGAAAAAGACCTTCACAACTCTTCTATGAGAAGACCTCCACAGCTCTTCTATGAGAAGAAGACCTTCACAGCTCTTCTATGAGAAGAAGTCCTCCGCAGCTCTTCTATGAGAAGAAGACCTTCACAGCTCCTTTATGAGAAGACCTTCGCAGCTCTTCTATGAGAAGACCTTCACAGCCCTTCTATGAGAAGACCTTCACAGCTCTTCTATGAGAAGACCTTCACAGCTCTTCTATGAGAAGATCTTCACAGCTCTTCTATGAAAAGACCTTCACAGCTCTTTTATGAGGAGACCTTCACAGCTCTTTTATGAGAAGACCTTCACAGCTCTTCTATGAGAAGAAGACCTTCACAGCTCTTCTATGAAAAGAAGACCTTCACAGCTCTTCTATGAGAAGAAGACCTTCACAGCTCTTCTATGAGAAGAAGACCTTCACAGCTCTTCTATGAGAAGTAGACCTTCACAGCTCTTCTATGAGAAGTAGACCTTCACAGGCCTTCTATGAGAAGACCTTCAAAGCTCTTATATGAGAAGACAACTTCATCTTTTATGAGAAGATCCCTCATCTTCTATGAGAAAACCACCTCGTTTTCTATGGGAAGATCTCCTCGTTCATCTATGAGAAACCTTCTTGAGAAGAACAATGAGAAACCTTTTTGAGAAGACCACATATGAGAAGACCATCTCGTCTTCTATGAGAAGATCCCTAGTTTTTCTCTGGGAAGGCCTTTAGTTCTTCTAAGAGAAAAACCTTCAGCTATCTAAGAGGTACATCCTAATAAGTAATAAAAGAAGTGGAATACCTTGGTCCACTATATCTGGTACCTTTCGTACATTTCATCTACGAATTTCTTTTAACCTTGTTTTATGAATATTTTTTTTAAGAACCACCGATTGCATATTTTAATATCCATTCTGAGACCGAAACACATACCAAGGACTACGTATTAAAAACAATTGTTCAATGTTCATCTGAGGCCTACTTTTAAAGCCTTTTCTAACTGAAACGTAAGAGCGAAATGTGGTCACAGATTTGATCAAGTTTTTGTAAGATCTGAGATTGAAACGATAATTTTTACAAAAAAAAAAAAAAAAAAAAAAAAAAAATTAAATGCGATTTGTATAAAAATTTTTCAAGGTCCATATCTGCCCAAGATGTTATTTTTTCAAGAACGCGAAGAATACATTTTTGGAAATTTTTTTCAATGATCGGTTTTAAGGGCCAAGAGCCTGAAAAGAAACTATTTTGAATATTTTTTCAAGGACCATCAAAGACTGAAACATGGAAAGGTTTTGAATATTTTTTTGAGACTGAAACTTGTAAGGGACTTGAACCTAAAGCGTGGAGTTTTAGGAAAATTTTTCTAGACTTCTGAACCTAAAATAGGGCTGTTAAAAGGGTCTTGTCTATAACATGAAACGAATTATTTGTTGAAAACTGGGACAAGAACGTGGGATCAGAGGTTGAAATGTGAATTTTTGAGAATAGTTTTTTTGAGTTCTGAGCCGAAAATAGGGATCCATTGGGGTCCAAAAAACCCAAAAAGTGGATTTTTTAAAATAATTTTTATTTCCAGATAATTTTTTCAATTCCAGATAATTTTTTCATTTTTTAAGAATTTTTCAAGCACCATCTGATCCATAGGTTTCGATATTTCAAAGTATTTTTTTAAACACCATTATTTTTCATTAAATGATCGGATTTAAAAACCAGTCTTTTTAAGACATATTTTTGAACCACTTTTCCTGGATCATTTGAAAGGGAAACGTATTTTTAAGGAATAATTACTGCTCCGGAGGACCATCTGATGAATATTTTTTAAGGACCATCGTATCCCGAAATTTTTGAGAGTTTTTAAAGGACCATTTGAACCGGAAACATTGGATTTTTTAAACAAAAATTGAGGGCTAATCTGAGCCTGAAACGTGAACGTTTTTGGAATATTTCAAATGTTAAGGACTATCTGTATAAGGACCTCCTTATGTGAAACGCAGGGCTCCGTTTCAGGAGGTCTTAAAAATGCAGATAGTTTTTGAAAAATATTTTTTGAGACAATTTCGTTTTTTCTAAACATTTTTCAGTCAAAGCGTAACTTCAGATTTGTAGGAATAAACTTTCTTTTGTTTTTTTTTTAGAAAATAATGGTTTTTGGATTTTCAAAATATTTTAAGCCTATAATTTTATAATTTTTTATGGAAGTTTTAAATTTATCCTACTCACCGACTTTCTCATCGGGATTGCCTTCGTCTTTCTTAGCACCATCTGCACCTTCACCATCCGGTTTTGGATCGACATATTCACTAAAATCATCGTCCAACATGGCATCAATTGCATCCCAATCGATGACGTCGCCGGCCGCATCGGGATCCGCAGCATCGGCGTCCGCACCACCCGATGACGATGTGGGATCGGCAGGATTTTGAGAGTTGGCATTATCCGTTGTCGACGCCGCCGCCGTTGTTGTTGCATTGGCGTTCGTTGATGATGATGTGGTGGTGGTTGTTGTAGTTGTTGTTGTGGTGAGATTTGTGGTTTGAATGATTGTTGTTGAGGATGAGATCGTTCCGTCAGCGTTAACGTTAGCGTCGTTTGTGGTGGTGGTGGTGGAATGTTTCAATGAGGCACGTTTATTGGGTGATGTTGTGGAATTGGCGACACCATGATGGGAATTTGCAAAAGAGGAAGAAGAAGCAGCATTATTAGCATTATTACTACCGGCCATAGCAGAGCCGGCAGTGCCAGTCGCAGTACCGCCGCCGCTGCCGCCGGCACTGCCACTCCCACTGCCAGCCTTCAATGACTGTTGGTCTAAAACTTCTTTCCCCCTTTGTCTAAGACTACCGCTACCGCTAACTGGCATAGCACTACCGCTACCACTACTACTATACTGGCGATTCGTGTTCGAATGTTGTGAGGTGTTGCTGTGGGCGGCCACACGATCGCCGTAATCGTCGTACTCAAAGTACTCGGGCTGATCATTAATACTGACGAGATTACTGCGATCGCTGCCGGTTTCGTATTGATGTTGTTGTTGCTGTTGTTGGTGGCGACTACTCCTCTTCGACGAGGCAGTAGCCATGGCTGATTGACGTGGTCCCCCCGAACGACTGGCATCGTATTGTTCGCCAACAGGGCCTGGCCGCTCGCCGCTATTGCCATGGCCATTGACCATGGCGTTGCCGCTGCCATGCGTTCCACCAGGCGGCATTGATGCGGATGTGTGTGGATCAGATCCCCCCATCATTTGGCCATGGTCGTCGACGGGCGAAAAGTTGTGAGCGTTTTGTGCGCTGGGAGGATGCGGCAAGTTGCGACGACGTTTCATGTAAGGTCCCGCCGGTCCGTACAGCTTTTCATGAGTCGAACGGTCCAGGTCGAGGGACATGTGGTTGCGTCCCCTGGTCATGTCGTAACGTCGACGCGAGTCACGAAACTGCGAAGGAGCCACACCGCGCCTCGTCCAACCCACGTCCGAGTCATAGGTAATGGTCACGATTTTGTCATCCGTCACCAGGAAGTGCGAGTGGCTCAAGGGATTCGTTGGATTGACATTGGCCCCCATGTACGATTGGCGTATATTGGTCTCTGAACCGTAGCGTCGCGAAAGATCTTCATCGAATTGGGCGGGATAGACCTCATCCTCGTAGCGGATGCGTCGGCGGCCCCAGCTCTTGGCGTGTAAATCGTCATAGTCCAGGGAACGCGATTGGCCCTCATGGAACATTTTTCGCCGGTCGAGTGAGGTACGACCCGTGGGAATGCCGATTTTGGGTTTCTTGAGAATGGATGGCGGCTGGGCTCGACCCTCGGCAATGGGCACGGCCGACACGAGGGCATCTTCGCTGAGCTGACGCGATAGACGCAGCACCGACTGCGTGGGCAATTGGGGAGGAGGGGCCAGGGAGGATTTAGCCTTTTTGTGCGCTGTTGGGGTCGGGGTATGGACATGGTATGTGGGCACCGCACCCAGATCTAGCTGGGGTGCCGTAAGCCCGCTAACGAAATGCTGATCCACACATTCACCGCACATTGCCGGATCGGTGGTGGGCAGTGAAGGCTCCGAGGATGACGGTTGGAACATCGAAAGCGATGGTCGTCGCAACAGCTGCTCAGCTGTATAGGGATAGGTGATGGGATTGTGCTGGGGATGGGGGTGGGCATCGATCAGACAATAGGGATCGGGGCAGGCCCCAATGGTGACACCGGACGAGGCCAGGGCTGCATTGGTCGACAGCACCACCGGTTGGCTGCCATTCTGGCAGTGACTACACGTGTTGTCATAGTGATCGCGTATATAGCCGACGTAGGATGAGGGCGACGAAGAGACGGTGTGAGCGTGAACATGGGCTGCAGCCGAATCAGCTGTTAGGCCAATGCGAGCCGGTTGTTGGCGAAAAAAGTTGACAACGGGCGATGTCAGACGCTTAAGACCACGCAATGTAGTCGCGCCACCGCCACTGCCGCCGGCAGCAGCAGCCGCCGCCGCCGCTGCTGCCTCCGCTTCCAGGGCGTCTATGCAACAGTCGGGTGCGAACCCGGGATCGGAAGGGAAATGCGTGAAGTTGGCAGCATGCGCTTGATACTCGGGGAACTGTATGGTGGGAATCGCATGGGGTGGGGGTGGCTGTTGTTGGAGTTGGTGTTGGTGTTGTGTCTGTGGTGGAGGAGGTGGGTACTGAGGTGGATTAAATGTACTGAGTTGTTGTTGTGTGGCCTGTGTCAGAGGATCTTGTGTTACGATTCGTGCACTGGGGACGACGCCGCAGCCGCCGCCGTCCATCACCATGAGATTGTTGGGATTGGCTGGATCGAGGAAATACTGCTCGACCAGATCGCCACTATTGTCGGTCACCATGAGTTGGGTTGGCAGTTGTGGTGGTTGTGCTGGTGTCAGGCCAGCCGTTGCCGCTGCATGGGCCGCAGCCGCATGGGCCACCGCTGCGGTTGCCGTGTTCGGTGGTGATTCACTGGCCGCCAGTTCGGCAAGACGTTGTAGGTGTTCCAGCTGTTCGAGCAGCTGCATCTGTTGCGTCGTGGTCTGGACGTGAGGTGGTGTATGAAACGCCGCACCCATGGGCAAATAGTCACAGTCGTCCACTTCGATGGTGTTCGAGCGAAAGCGTTCGAAGAAACCGCCCCTGCCGCCGCCGTCGTCGCCGCCACCTAAACGCATTGGCTGACCGACAGCTGTCAGGCTGTTCGGTCCAAAATAAGAGCGCCAATTTCGTGGTAAGCTACTGTTACTTTGGAAGGTTTAATTGTTTTTGTTTGGTTCGCAAAAACACATATTTGTTGTGGGTGGTGGGGTTTGGTGTGGGTGTTTGTGTGTGGGAGAGAGAGTGTGTATTTTTGTTCCAACAGAGAGAAATTGAGAAGAGATTTTGTGTGTGTGTTGCCATTGTTGGAGAAAAGTTGAGAAACATTGCGGTTATTTGGAAAGTGTGAATGTGTGTGTGTGAGTGTGAAATTGAGTGTGGGAGTGTTGGTGTTGTGTATTGCACACGCAAGGCAAGTACATGCAAAGTAAGTGGTGGGTGAGTGGCAAGCCAAAACGAAGGAGCAGAGTTATTGTTGTTGATTTTTTATTTTTGTGGAGAAATTAAGTCGGAGAGAGAGAGAGACAGATACAAAGAAGCAAAATAATGAGAAGGAAACAATAAAAACCAGAAACGAAGGATAATGATGTCCGAGTGTATGAGAGAGGGAGAGAGAGTAAATTGATGGAAACAGAGAATTGGGATAGGGAGCCATGAATTGGAATTTTTCGAGATATAGAGAGAGCGAAAGAGGAGAGCAATGTTTAAATGATACATGGAAAAGACACAGTGAAAGTTGTTGTGGTTGTTGTCGTTCGTAGGCATTTTTAGAAGCATTTCAAACACAAAATTAAGCGCAGGCGTCATTGAGTCGTTCGTTGTAGTTGTTGTTTTTTTGGTTGTTGGGTGGTGGTGGTGGTTGAGGTCGTGGTCGTGGTTGAGTAAGGAGTTGAAATCATAGTCGAGTATATTTTTTGGTTGTTTTTTTTTTTTTATCGGTTGATTGTAACAAAACGTAACACATAAAGACAGGAACAAAAAAAGAACAAAGACATAGTAAACATAAAGAAAGTTGGCATGTATTGGCTTGTTGTTTTGTAGGTATTTGTTTTTGTAAATTTTTGTTAAGAAATTTTGCAGCTTTCATTTCATTTCACATTTGCCAGATTTTTGTCTTTTTTTTTGGAGAATTTGATTTTCAATGTTGCTATAGCCAGATTTGGGTAGGATATGTTTTTTTTTCAATTATTTTGTCAGGAGTAGGGAGCGGGGTGAGATGCATTATTTTTTTTTCAAATGTTGCCAAAAACCCGTGTCTTTGACCATTTTTTTTTCGTTGCCCAATTAATTTTTCACAAAGCGCCAAAAGCACATTTTATAGAAAATTTTATTCATACCGTAAGAGAGAGAGAGAAAAAAAGCTTTGATTTCAAGTTCATAATATCATCATAATTTTCTTACACAACGAATGTGTGCGGAAAAAGCTTAAAGCTTTCGAATTGAATTAGTATTGATAATTTCAATCACAAAAGTGAAAAAAAGCTTTATTCGAAAACAAGTGACTGATTCTTTGAACCATTCAATACTCACCTGAGTCCCCGTGACCCTCTTAACCTTTCCGATTGTGTTGAGAATGAGCTTGAGGTCACACTAACCAACGACTCAATGTCCGAGTCACCAAAATCGCCCATATAATCTTTGTCCGGCGATAGCGAGTGTCGTGGCCGCATTCGTGTCTCCATCGAATGCAGATCACTGTCCGAGAGCCCGGTATAGTGTCGCTCCCAGCCACCACCACCAGTACTACGATATAGTGGTTGATGATGCGGTTGACGTGTGCGATGTCGACCAAAACGACCGTTACCCGAGGATAAGCGTTCGTCAAACTCTTGGCCCAAACGATCACGTATCATGGCGCTGCGTGATGTCTGGGGTACCTGGAAGGAAAAAATCAGGGGAAGGGGAAAATTAGGTAAATGTTCCTTTTTTGGGAAAAAAAAGTCTTTGATTCTATATTTCCTACAGGGCTGAATGGAGTTTTCCATAGGAAAATTGCAATTCAGCCAGGCTGAATGGAGTTTTCCATATGAAAAACTCCATTTTTCCATAGGAAAATTGCAATTCAGCCGGGCTGAATGGAGTTTGCCATAGAAAAATTTCAATTCAGCCGGGCTGAATGGAGTTTTCCATAGGAAAATTGCAATTCAGCCTGGCTTAATGGAGTTTTCCATAGGAAAATTGCAATTCAGCCGGGCTGAATGGAGTTTGCCATAGAAAAATTTCAATTCAGCCGGGCTGAATGGAGTTTTCCATAGGAAAATTGCAATTCAGCCTGGCTGAATGGAGTTTTCCATAGGAAAATTGCAATTCAGCCTGGCTGAATGGAGTTTTCCATAGGAAAATTGCAATTCAGCCTGGCTGAATGGAGTTTTCCATAGGAAAATTGCAATTCAGCCTGGCTGAATGGAGTTTTCCATAGGAAAATTGCAATTCAGCCTGGCTGAATGGAGTTTTCCATAGGAAAATTGCAATTTAGCCAGGCTGAATGGAGTTTTCCATAGGAAAATTGCAATTTAGCCAGGCTGAATGGAGTTTTCCATAGGAAAATTGCAATTCAGCCAGGCTGAATGGAGTTTTCCATAGGAAAATTGCAATTCAGCCAGGCTGAATGGAGTTTTCCATAGGAAAATTGCAATTCAGCCAGGCTGAATGGAGTTTTCCATAGGAAAATTGCAATCCACCCAGGCTGAATGGAGTTTTCCATAGGAAAATTGCAATTCAGCCGGGCTGAATAGAGTTTTCCATAGGAAAATTGCAATTCAGCCGGGCTGAATAGAGTTTTCCATAGGAAAATTGCAATTCAGCCGGGCTGAATAGAGTTTTCCATAGGAAAATTGCAATTCAGCCGGGCTGAATAGAGTTTTCCATAGGAAAATTGCAATTCAGCCGGGCTGAATAGAGTTTTCCATAGGAAAATTGCAATTCAGCCGGGCTGAATAGAGTTTTCCATAGGAAAATTGCAATTCAGCCGGGCTGAATAGAGTTTCCCATAGGAAAATTGCAATTCAGCCGGGCTGAATAGAGTTTTCCATAGGAAAATTGCAATTCAGCCGGGCTGAATAGAGTTTTCCATAGGAAAATTGCAATTCAGCCAGGCTGAATAGAGTTTTCCATAGGAAAATTGCAATTCAGCCGGGCTGAATAGAGTTTTCCATAGGAAAATTGCAATTCAGCCAGGCTGAATAGAGTTTTCCATAGGAAAATTGCAATTCAGCCGGGCTGAATAGAGTTTTCCATAGGAAAATTGCAATTCAGCCGGGCTGAATAGAGTTTTCCATAGGAAAATTGCAATTCAGCCGGGCTGAATAGAGTTTTCCATAGGAAAATTGCAATTCAGCCGGGCTGAATAGAGTTTTCCATAGGAAAATTGCAATTCAGCCGGGCTGAATAGAGTTTTCCATAGGAAAATTGCAATTCAGCCGGGCTGAATAGAGTTTTCCATAGTAAAATCTCAATTCAGCCTGGCTGAATAGAGTTTTCCATAGGAAAATTGCAATTCAGCCGGGCTGAATAGAGTTTTCCATAGGAAAATCTCAATTCAGCCTGGCTGAATAGAGTTTTCCATAGGAAAATCTCAATTCAGCCTGGCTGAATAGAGTTTTCCATAGGAAAATCTCAATTCAGCCTGGCTGAATAGAGTTTTCCATAGGAAAATCTCAATTCAGCCTGGCTGAATAGAGTTTTCCATAGGAAAATCTCAATTCAGCCTGGCTGAATAGAGTTTTCCATAGGAAAATCTCAATTCAGCCTGGCTGAATAGAGTTTTCCATAGGAAAATCTCAATTCAGCCTGGCTGAATAGAGTTTTCCATAGGAAAATCTCAATTCAGCCTGGCTGAATAGAGTTTTCCATAGGAAAATCTCAATTCAGCCTGGCTGAATAGAGTTTTCCATAGGAGAATCTCAATTCAGCCTGGCTGAATAGAGTTTTCCATAGGAAAATCTCAATTCAGCCTGGCTGAATAGAGTTTTCCATAGGAAAATCTCAATTCAGCCTGGCTGAATAGAGTTTTCCATAGGAAAATCTCAATTCAGCCTGGCTGAATAGAGGAAAATCTCAATTCAGCCTGGCTGAATAGAGTTTTCCATAGGAAAATCTCAATTCAGCCTGGCTGAATAGAGTTTTCCATAGGAAAATCTCAATTCAGCCTGGCTGAATAGAGTTTTCCATAGGAAAATCTCAATTCAGCCTGGCTGAATAGAGTTTTCCATAGGAAAATCTCAATTCAGCCTGGCTGAATAGAGTTTTCCATAGGAAAATTGCAATTCAGCCTGGCTGAATAGAGTTTTCCATAGGAAAATTGCAATTCAGCCTGGCTGAATAGAGTTTTCCATAGGAAAATTGCAATTCAGCCTAGCTGAATGGAGTTTTCCATAGAAAAATTGCCATTAAGCCAAGGCTGAATGGAGTTTTCCATAGGAAAATTTGCAATTCAGCCGGGCGGAATGGAGTTTTCCATAGGAAAATTTGCAATTCAGCCGGGCTGAATGGAGTTTTCCATAGGAAAATTGCAATTCAATGGGCCTACGGAAAACTCCATTCTATTCTCTATTCTCCCTTATAGATCTCTCTCATTTAATTAAGCCTCCTCGTTACTCACCTTTGGCAGTTGTCTCTTTTTGGGTGAACCCGTTGGTGTGGCAGTCGCCGAGCGCGATTGGAAGCGTTGCTGTTGCGATGCCGATGTGCCGACACCACTGTCATAGGGCGTTACAATCGACGAGGTGGCACCACTATATGGTGGTATACTACCTATATCGTGTCCCCGATATTCTGGTGGTGACAGGGAACCACGTCTTGGACTTGTACTGCGATAGTAACCGCTGTGATAAACATCACCGGGTGCCGCAGAATGGCTACGTTGACTCAGACTCATGCCACCGGGACCAGTGGTAGGAGCACCATTACGACGAAAATAGCCACTTGGAGCACCGGGGGCCTAAATGCACAACAATAACAACAAAAAAACAAAAACAATTAATTAATAAATTCCCAAAAGAGTGACACAATTTTTGAAATTATTTGGGCTTTGAGATTTCGAAAAGGAAAATCAAAAAGCATTGATTTTTTTCACTGTAAATATTTTCAGTTTTAATAAAAAAAATGAAATAAATTATAAAATTGTATTAAAAAAATATAAAAATTCCTTGGGGAATCCTTTTGCTTTGTTGTTTTTTAAGTTTTATTTCAAATAACTACTTTGAAGAAAAATTAAATGATAAACATGGAAAAAATGAATTTGAAACAAGCTTTGAGGTAACTTCACATTGAGAGTTGAGAAAACAGGATTGGAAGAAAAACTTGTTATTGGCATAGCAAGAAAATAGCGTTTTTCGTACAGCTGTATGGGTTGTTATTATTGAGAGAGAGAGCGAGAGAGGGGTTTGAGTGAAAATAATGATATATTAAAAGTATTTGAAATAAAATGTGTTTTGGTGGAAAAAATGTAATTTTTGTTTGAAAATTTTCAAAAATGAATATTTTTTTTTATTGATTATTTATAATGACAGGGCTGAGATTAGCTGCTGAAATGGAGGTTTGTAAATTCCGCAAATAAAAAAATGCCTTCTAATTCTAAAATTTTTCGAGATTATGGTATATGATTTTAAACTTGTTTACAATTACTAGGAAGACTGGTTATTTTAAGTTACGTATATCGGATATGAAATGAGTGCATTTTCAAGGATCTGGTCCTTTGAATGCCTAATGTTAATAGTTTCCAAAAAGGTTTAAAAAAGTCAATTCGAAATGTCATTTGCGCCAAATTTGCAAATTTCTTCTCTTTGGTGACATAAAATAACATATCTAGAAAATTTGGTTTCCTTTAGCATCGACTTGCTAAAAGTGCTACTTCGTCCTAGGATTGTATCTAGATTTTTTGGACAGATTTTTTTGAAGACCTACAGGAACAGTTTTGGTTGAATATTTTGTTCAATTGCCCATTTACAACGTGGCCAAAAGAAACATCCTTCCGGGAGCCGTGAAAAATGTTAATTGCGAGCCAATTGAATTTGGGAGTTGAAATGGGATATCTTAGTCCACGATTGGTTTTGAAAGAACACTATGTTAGGCACTAAAGGCTAGGCTATCGAATTCCTTACTTGGGATGAAAAATACAGGGTTGCGTGCTTGAATTCTTAAGGACTATCAGGGCCCTAGAGGATTTTTAATAGGGCTTTGGAGAATGGATTTTAGAAGATTTTTTCCAAGAATCAAATCGTGAGCTTGGATTTTTGAGAGTTTTTTCAGGGCTTGTCAAAGCCATAAGCGTGGAGTTTTAAGAGTGTATTTTCAGGGAATTCAGACCAATAAATCATAGATATTTTCAAGGACTATCAGAGCTTTAGTATTAATTTTTTTCAGAATATTCTACAAGGATTATCAGATCGATGAGCGTAAGGATTTTCAATGTAAACATTTTTAGATCCTTTTGAGATATAGTCGTGGGCTGTTTGTGAATAATTGTAAGAGGGTATTCGTGGACTTTATTGAAGGACCTTCGTATATATAATCCATAACTTTTATTTAATAATCTTTATTAAATAATTTTTGTGGCTTTAATCGCGGATTTTTATTAAGCATTTTTAAAAGAACCTTTTATAGCTATAATCGAGGGTATTGTCAGTTTAAAACCTTTCAGACTTTTTATGATTTTTAAAGGATCTTAAGAGCTAAAATCGTCGATTTTTATACATATTTTAAAAGGACCTCCATAGCGGATTTTTTGAAAATGTTATTTCTAAAAATGATCCTATCCTTTTAAAAGAGTCTTTTAATTGATAATTTCCAATATTTATCTTAAAAGATTTTTTATGAAATATTTCTGGATTTTTGAGAAATGTTTCTCAAGGATAACTGAACGACATTTTAACGAAATTCATAGCTTAAATTTTTTTTTTAGAATATTTTTTGGAAAATATTTGGCTTTGATATGAACGGTTTTGAGAATATATTTCTAAAATCCATGCGATTTTTAAGGACCTTTGATGCTATAATCAATAACTTTTATTGAATATTTTCAGAGGTGCTTATTAACCAAAATCGGGTAATTTTTTATAAATTATTTTGAAGGACTTTTGAGATTATAATTGTAGATTTTTATTAACAGTTTTAAAGGTCCTTCGTGCCTACAATTGATATTTATGAATAATTTTTACCGGACCTTCGTAGTTATATTCGTTAACTTTTATTGAATATTTTCAGAGGTCCTTATGAAGTAAAATGTTGGGGTTTTTATACATTTTTTAAAGGACTTTCGAGACTATAATCGTGGATTTATATGAATATTCATTAAAGGTCCTTAGAGTTTTTAAATGAGCATTTTTATGAGAATTTTTAAGGATCCTCGTGACTATAATCGACTACTTTTATTGAATATTTTCAGAGGTCCTTATGAACTAAAACCATGGGTGATTAATAAATATTTTTAAAGAGACTATAATCGCGAATTTATATGAATATTTTTTAAGGTACTTTGTACCAATAATTGTGTTTTTTATGAATATTTTTTACAGGACCTTCGTAGCTATAGTCGGTAACTTTTATTGAATATTTTCAGAGGTCCTTATGAACTTAAATGTTGGGGTTTTTATACATTTTTCAAAGGATTTCGAGACTATAATCGTGGATTTATATCAATATTTCTTGGATGTCCTTACAGTCTTTTATGAATATTTTTAAAGGACCTTCTATAATCAAAGATTTTTTTTAAACTATTTTCAGAGGTCCTTATGAACTAATTTTTTTGCGTTTTTATAAATATTTTTAAAGGACTTTCTAGACTATAATTGTAGATTTTTATCAATAGTTTTGGAAGGTCCTTCGTGACTTTAATTATGGATATTACAAATATTTGTAATGGACCTTCGTAGCTACAATCGATAACTTTCATTGAATATATTCAGAGGTCCATATGACCTAAAATCGCAGATTTTTTATATATATTTTTATAGGACCTTCGGGATTATAATCACGGATTTATATGAATATTTTTTAAAGGTCCTTTGTGCCTACAATTGATGATTTTTATGAATATTTTTTAAAACTGTAATCGAAGACTTTTATTTAATATTTTCAGAGATCATTATGAGCTAAAGCCATGAGCGTTTTTATAAATATTTTTAAAGGGCCTTCAAGGATATAATCGTGGATTTATAATAAGGTTTCTAAAGGACCTTCGTGCCTTTTTTTCGATTTCTATAAAAAAAAAATGTTAAAACTATAATCAATGACTTTAATTAAGTGTCTTTATGAACAAAAATCTTGTTTTCAATAATTAAATTTTTTAGGACTCTCGGGGCTACAATCGTGTAATCTATTGAATATTTTGAAAGGACCTTCAAAACAGCAATTGAGATTTTTATTAACATTATTAAAAAACCATCGGAGTTATAATCATACATTTGATGTTAATATTAATACATTCGAAGAGGATATTTTTTGAAGGTCCTTTGGAAGGTCCTTTTTTCGTGTATTTTCTTTGATATTGTAAAGGGCTATTAGAATTGTAATTTTATATTCTTAAAACATATTTCTTAAATTGCCTTTGAGTTAAAAACTTCGAATTCTTTTGGAACATTCTTAAACGATTTTTAGATCTCTAATTGTATATTTTCAAAGGATATTATTTAAGTGGTTTTGGAGAAATAATCTTAGAGAAATAATCTGAAAGACTTTCCGAGTTAAAATAGTGGGTTTTGTTTTGAATATTTTTAAAGGACCCTCAGAACTAAACTCGTGGACTTTGTTTGAAAATTTCAAAGTATTTTTTGATTTTTAATTGCAGTAAGTATATACTTTCTGTAGGATCTGCGACTTATATATGCGGAATTTTTCGAATATATTATTTGAGGATATTTTTAAACAATATTTGGGGATATAAGAATAAGTAAGAATCATTAATAACATAGGTTAATTCGTAGGTTTTTAGAATATTTTTGCAGGTACCTTTTGAGCTATAATTTCAGATTATCTGAGAACTTTCATGTTTATAATCGTAGATATTTAAGAATATTTTCCAAACATCCTCTGAAGTTGTAATTTTAATTTTTTGGGGGCTTTTCCAGAAAAAACCGTGGATGATTAAGGTCAAGAAACTTTTAACGAATCATGAATTTTATTTAAATTTTTGAAACGATTTCAAAGTTTCAATAGTAAAATTTTAAAAAATCATAATTTTCAGAACTGAAAATAGTTTTTTCAAGGATTACAACAGATTTTTTTAAAGCTGCATTCCTGGACTTTTTTTGACACATTTTAAGAACTATGTTTATTACAGGACTTTTGAGGACTTTAATTAATAAAATAGTGGATTATTGGCAAATATTGATATCTTAAAATAATAAAACCTGGAACTTTTAGAGACTAATTTCCAATATTTATCAGAAATCATTTTTTAGAAAATATTTCTGGATTTTTGAGGAAAGTTCTTCAAGGATTATCAAAGGGTCTTTTATCGAAATTCATAGCTAGAATGCTATGAGCACACAAGCGTGGGTTTCTTTAAAGACTTTTCGGAGACAAATTTTGCAAGCAAAGGATTATCAAAGGGTCTTTTATCGAAATTCATAGCTAGAATGCTATGAGCACACAACCGTGGGTTTCTTTAAAGACTATTCGGAGACAAATTTTGCAAGCAAAGTTAAATCCAAAGCAAGTTCTTTTTTTTAAAAAGAAAAATTTATATTTTTTGAAGCCTGAAGCGAAAATCGAAGAAATTTCAATACCACTTTCAATACAAAAAATTTTTTTGGGAATTTTTTTTACGAGGATTAAAAAGGACTATTTCAGTAACTATCAGAGATATAACTTTTAAGAAACCCGGGGACTTTTTAAGGTTTTCAAGGAATACTATATTTAATATCGGGTTAGAACACTATTACACAAAGTCAAAAAAGATCTACTCTACATAAAATTTGAATTTATTTTAGGCTCTTAATACCCTGGGTTCCAGCTTTTGCTCAGTGTAATCAGAAGCTTTCCCTGACATGATCAGCCTATAAATTTCGTTTCATAGATTTGACAGTTAAGTGAAAAAATCCTCTCTTAAAAAAATAATAAATAATTTATTTTGTGTTTGTTTTCTTAATAAACTCAAAAAAAAAAAAAAATGTAAATCAAATGTCAAACCTGCTGATTGTGATAACTTTGTCCAATTCCCGAAACGGTACGATAATCACGAGCTACCATGCCGGCCACCCGTTTGCGACCTTGCGGTGACATGTCACGTCTAGAGCGACGCTCTTGCAAATCAAGCTGGTGTTGAGTGGGCAATTTCGCATAATGAGGGGGGTGGGGTGGTTGGAAATTTTAATAGTTTTGGATGAGAGTTATGGCAAAAAGAGATTTGGAATGGATAAAGAGGGGACAAATTACATTGTAAAAACAATTTAAGACAGGGAATTTCAGGACAGTGGACAAATGTCGTATTTTTTCAATATATTTTTTTTTTTTAATAAAAAATATAATCCAAAAAGAAGAGAAATAGAATAAATAGAAAGATAAAAATAGAAAAAAAATAGAAATGGGGGTATTTTTAGTGGCAAGAGAAAAAAGGGTGAGTAAATTTTGTGTCAAGTGAGATTTGGTGATTAGATCTTACTGTGAGAGCTGTATATATATGTGTGTGTGTGGGGGAATTTTTGTGTGATTCCATAGGTATTTGAATTGAAGCTACATTTATACAAGCTTAAAGCTTTGGAAAAATTAAATAATTAAGCAAATTTAAATTAAAAATATAATTGCTACATTAAATATGCAAACATGCAATTGTGCTTTAATAATATTTGTTTTTTTTTTTTCAGTATTGTTTTGTTCTCTTTTTTATATACAGTTAAAAAAGTTTCATTACAATGTGTTCTCCTCTGTACGTTTGTTGTTGTTATTTTTTTCAAGAGAGTATATTCATATATTTTTTTGTATTTTACATTTTTTTTAAATATATCTGAAAATATTGTTTTTTGTTTTAATTGTCCCTTTGTATCATAAAACTTATAAATAAAAAGTGTTAGTTTTTTCACATTTACATAAACGAGTTTTGTTACACTGTCCTACCATTTGTTTTTTTCGTTTCTTTTCCTTTCTGTTTTGGTTTTTTTCTTTAATTTTTGTTAAAGAGTTGTGGTTTTGAGAGAAACAAAATTTTACACAACATTGATCGACAAAAGTAACCAAATACAATTGTTTTTTTTTTTGATTTTGGAAAAAAGTTCAAGTAAAAAAAGTCCAATCTAAATACATAATGAATTAACATGGGTGAACGTAATGTAATTTATTTCAATGATTTTTTTTTTTTCGAAATGCATTCGAATCCAGTGAAATGATTTCAATACAAACAATGAAACAGGCTTTTAAAAAAACAACATGAACGGGACATATCAATTGAGAGCACATGACGATGATGATGAGAGGATGGAGAGCAATATGGATGGTCTCTATGGAGAAATGCAATTATGTTAAATGAGCGTAGTTTTCATTGTAATTCTGGATTTCAAAATCGAACCTAATATTCGAACAACCTCAAGGTATAAGTTTATAATAATGTTGCTTACAAATTATACACGATCAGTGACTGTATTATTCGCGTTGTTATAACCAAACTCAACAGAAAAAAATTTAAACTATTTCAAAGGCCAATATCTCTGCATCCAGGAAAGCGAATAATACATATTACCGCATTTTGGAAAGCTTATAGTGACAACAAGAACTTGGCATAAAATTTGTGGACTCCCAAAATAGGTCATTTTTCACTTTTGAGGGTTTTTTTTTAAATCCTGGTCCAAAAATTAATAATATATATAATATAATTAATGTTGATACAACTCCGGAACCGTTAAAAAAACCAAGTGTAAATAGCATTTTGGAGAGAATTTTCCAGAAAAAAGTTATGTGATGGAATTCAAGCGTGATAGTGTGATTTTTTTACATTTGGCTGGAAAACCACAAGTGGCTACCGTTAGAGCACTCCAGCATTTAAATGTGAATAAATAAAATGAGCTCGGGGTAAAGCCATTGGAATTTCAAAAAGTGCAAGAGCTTACACCACAACAGAAAGAAAATAGACTTAAAAGAGCTAAAGAGTTGCTTCGCTTGGTCGAAGTAGTGAACTGCCGAAAGTGGTGAACTCCGTCTCCGATGAGAAAACATTCGTTGTCCAGCAGTTTGCAAACAAACAAAATGATCGTGTTTACTTGCCAAAGAGGTCAGCTGAAAATGTACCCCTTCCGTTGGCCACCAAAACTCAAGCGCCGGCCATGGTGATGATGGTAGCTCTCCGCTCGTATTTATCGACCGTGGCATCAGAATAAATGTTGAATATTATCGCAAAAATATTCTGGAGTGTGTATTAAAGCCTTGTGAACTTAAACATTTGAGGCGGGGCCGACTTTATGATACCCTACACCACTTTGCTAATTTAGTAGAACTCCAGGTAACAATTAAAAGTTTTTATGGGAGAATTCAATCATACAAGCTATGATTATAATTATAATTTAAAGTTCAAAGGACTAAATATGCCGAAGCATTTGTATCTTTTAAATTCGGACTTGTATTGCCTATTTGGTGCACAATTAATTTGAAATCGGATAAAGATATATATGGGAGCTACATCCAAATCTGAACCGATCTCGATAAAATTTAGTAAAGATATTTCTTAGCTGTATTTGATATATTTCCCCAAATATTGTTGTTACAGAGTGCATATTACGGCTGCGGAGGACAAAAATAACAAATCGGATGAACAATATAAAATGGAGCTATAGCTATATCTCAACCGATTTCGATCAAATTTGGCATACATATTTTCAGACCTAATTAGGGTGTATATGCAAAATTCCATACAATTCGGGCTGATATTACACGTTTGGTGCACAATAAAAGGCAAATCGGACGAAGATATATATGGGAGCTATATCTAAATTTTGACCGATTATCTCCAATTTCAATATGGTTCGTCCTTGGGCCAAACAAATGATCTGTGCAAAATTTCATCTGGATCGGGCAATAAATGTGAACTGTACTTTGTTTACAAAAATACATGGGCAGACGGACGGACAGACGGACGGACATGCATAAATCGACTCAGAATGTGATTCTATGCAGATCATCAAAATGAACTATGGGTCTATCTCGTTTCCTTTTGCCTGTTCCAAACAAATGCACAAAGACATAATACCCTGACCACCTTGTGGTGTAGGGTATAATTATCCGACTGTTGTCATTTCTAAGCTACTCTTCCGACAACTGTTAAAATCATTTCAGTGACAGCTCATTATATTGTTTACAGGCATACAAAAGAATTTTGGTGAGAATTTTCCAGAAAAAAAGTTATTCGTGATGGAATCCAAGCGTGAATCCGAGATTTCTTTGAATTAGGCTGGAAAACCACAAGTGAGCGAAAAATGGCTCGCGTGCTGAACATATCGCAATATACCATTCTGCAAATATTGAAAAATGAGCTCGGGGTAAAGCTATTGAAATTCCAAAAATGTGCAAGAATTTACACCGCAACAGAAGGAAAATAGACTCAAAAGAGCTAAAGAGTTGCTTCGCTTGGCCGAAAGTGGTAAATTGCCGAATTTGGTTTTCTCCGTATCCGATGAGAAAACATTCGTTGTCCAGCAGTTTGTAAACAAACAAAATGATCGTGTCTACTTGTCAAAGAGGTCAGCTGAAAATGTGCACCTTCGGTTGGCCACCAGAACTCAAGCGCCGGCCATAGTGATGGTGTGGGCCGCCATAACAGCCGATAGTCGCTCTCCGCTCGTATTAATCGACCGTGGCATCAGAATAAATGCCGTATATTATCGCAAAAATATTCTGGAGGGTGTATTAAAGGCTTTGGGCACGTAAACTTTTTGGCCGCAGACCTTGGACATTCCAACAGGACTCAGCATCATCGTGGTTCCTCGCTTCATTTCCAGCGCACAATGACCCCCAAAATCTCCGGATACCAATCCGCTGTCTGGAGTATTTCAGAAAGCAAGGTTGACACTAAAAGATACCAAAGTGTCGATATCGCCGCAAGCCAAAATACCGCAGAGCAACATTCGGGCAGCGTGTGACGATTTCATTGGCCATTTGAAGACCATAATTCGTGCCAAAAGTGACCAATTCGAACAAATCTAAACTTATTCTAAACTTTGATGCTATTTCCGACATTTTTTGCATTCATTCAATAAAATTTAAAAAAATATATAAAAAGTATTGCGTTTGACTTTGTTGCAGTTTTTTTTTTTATCTCATCCTGTATATCCGATTTCGGGTTAATTGTGCAACAAATTTCAGTCTAAAAGCCCGGAATTTTTGTGCATCCGTCCCTAGTCCCTAAAAGTTCGTGATATGCATTCGACAACAGTTATATTCCTTATCAGATATCTTATAGAGCTCGGAAATACTTCTGCCAAATTTTATAAAGGTTGGATCAGATTTGGATATAGCTACCATATATATCTTCAACCCATTTCGGATTAATTGTGCACCAAATGGCCAATATCTATCAAAAAGTCCAAAAGTTTGGTACATGCGACCGAATTCAGTCTAGAAGCAAGTACATCGAATTCGGAGAAAATAGGTTCAGATATAGCTATTGCTCCCATATATATGTTTCATCCGATTTGGTTTTTAAGTCCCTCACTTTCGTTATATGCATTCGACAACAATATTTAGTACCAGATATCTTATAGGGCTCGTATATACCTCTGCCAAATTTTATCAAGATTGGATGAGATTTGGATATACATAGCTGCCATATATATCTCCAACCGGTTTTTGGTAAATTGTGCACCAAATGGCCAATATCAGTCCAAAAGACCTGAATCTTGGTACATCCAATCGAATTCAGTCTAGAAGCAAGTACATCTAATTCGAAGAAAATCGGTTCAGATATAGCTATTGCTCCCATATATTTGTTTCCTTCGATTTGGTGTTTAAGTCCCTAGAATTCGTAATAGGCATTCGACAACAATGATAATTGATACCAGATATCTTATAGAGCTCGGAAATACCTCTGCCAAATTTTATTGAGAATGGCTAAGTTTTTGATATATAATCCGATTTCAGGTTTATAATATCATCCTTCTCCAAGTAATATCATGCATTCTATTGCAACTATAACTGGTCTAAAGCCAAATGTTGATAGGCGGTATGATCAACTTGAAATAAACTCTTTCGTTATGGGAGCCTGTAAAAATAATAATGTCTCAGGATTTTCAATAAGAAAAAATACTTCTGAATAATAAATAGACGATATATATTTGAAACGATTACCTTCTTCTTTTTTCCGAACCAACGTAAATTATTCAATTTCCATGAAGATGAACAATGACCATATGAGCATTGAAATGATTTTTTAATGAATGACAAAATTAGGTATTTTCAATAAAAAAAAAATGTAACACACAGACAGACACACACACATTTAGAAGTTCTAGAAAAAGAGTTTGGTATGCACAAAGCCATTTTCGAAGTTTAAACGTTTTCCTTTTCAATTTTTTTATTACAACAAAAAACTAGAAAATCACAATTTTCATACAAAACAATTTGCAGTTACAAATAAATTAGTATTAGTATTTTAAAAGTAGGTTTGGTCCTAAATGGGTTAATTTCGTAATAGTAGTGAGAGGAAGTGTTGTTCAATAGTTTTACTCTAAGATTAATCGCTTTGAGACGAAACTAGACGAGGTTGAGCGGTACTGTACAAAGCTCAACGGAGGTTTTTTAGATTCTTTATACAAAAACAGAGAGAGAGAGATAGAGTGTTAGTACTACAAACTGCGAGAGAGAGACAGAGCGAAAAAGAGAGAGTGTGAGTTAGAGATAGATATATCTTGGAGATTTCTTACAAAGTTACTCGGAGAGTATGATTACTGTTACGAGAAAGAGTAGACAGCGAGAGCAAAATTAATTTGTAGAGAGACACAGGGTGACACAAGTGTTAGTTGGTTAAAGAGCTTGGTATCTCTGATATACCAAAAAACAGGGAGATCGTAGTAGAGAGTAGTAATAGTTGTAGTGGTCTTGTTCTTGTTCTGATATTTGTTTGTGAAGTAGTATTATTTTGTTTTACATTTTTGATTGTTTTTTGTTTCATTTTTTTTTTTTAAATTTGGTTACCTCAGGTGGTGGTGTACTTGCTGAACTACCCATCGATGAAATGCTGGCACCATCTCGCTGTGACTGTAAATCTATTTCAGACATTGTATCCGAATCGCTGTGACGCGATGTTGTACTGGGTGGTGACAAATGATCACTGGGTGTCAATATCACTATGTCCACATCTCGGGATGAGTCATAACTGCGTAACTATAGATTGCAAGTATTTTTTTTTGATGTTGGTGGCGGGGTAAAATTTCGAAAAATAAAAAAAGAAATCAAAAACAAAAACAGTTATGAGGAGGGAGGGAGAGAAAAAATTATGAGATGAGTCATATTTCTGTTACGGTTTGGTGGTGGGAGGGAATATTTTTTTTTATTAAAATGTATGAAATGTTAAATTATTATTTTTTAATTTTTTAAAATGAATAAATGTTAGTTTAATGAGAATTTAGTTGATAAAATATTGAAATTTTTTTAATTTTTTTAATAATAAAAATTCATATTTTTTTTCTAGTAAAATTTATTTCCCTTCAAAACCAACTCATTTTATGGAGTGTTGAAAAATTGGAATTTCTCTAAGGAAACTGGGGGAATACAGTGAAAAATAGGGGGAGACATATAAAGTATGTGTCTCTCATAGCAGGATAAAAAAATCCAATTCTGTCATGTTCCACAGTATTTCCATTTTGCAAAAAAATATTAAAAATTGCTTCAAAAATAGTTCCAACTGAGAGTGAAGCAATTTTTTTTTCAAATAACAACGGCCCTCTAAGGGCCGATTAAAAAAATTGATTATCTCCATTTTATTGTTACTGCTGCTGTCGTTATAGACCTCTTAGAATCATTTAACATTTACATTCGTTAACATTATCATCAGTTTTTTTTTCTTTAAACAATTACGTTCTCTAAAACACTTATATTTCACAAGAATCCAAAACCAAAAAAAAGGAACTAAAATTCAAAATAAAAACCAAAACCAAAAAAACTTTTTTTTTTTATTGTGAACATACGAGATATGAGGTATCCTGATGCGGTTGTAATTTATACCAATCCGCTTCATCATCCAATGAATGATGGGCCAAATCAATAACCACTTCGCCGATAAAGTCATTAGCACCGTAACGCACGTAATCCCATAGAGTAACCTAAAATTTTTTGGTATGAAAATATTGCGAAATTTTAATAAGTTTCCAAGCGGTTGGTCTATCCAATAGCTGTTGTTTTGCGCAGAATCTCGCTGGCATTACCTCTAAATATCTGCCGGCTAAATCGCAACGCCTTAAACCACTGTAAATAAATGTTTGACCCCAACGTGGTTCACAGGTACTGGCTAATGTTTTCGTGCGTCTTTTGGATTTTGTACCACGATCGGGTAAAAGGAACACCTGAGGGAAAGAGGGGAGAAGTAAAAAAGGATTAATACTATTGATGCCTAAGGTCTTATAGGCCATGCTACAGAAATGCAATTGAAATTGCCATAATGTGGATAAAAATAAATCAACATTTGGATAACGTGGATAATATTTTACTTCATTCGGATAAAGTGGATAACATAAAACGATAGTTTGGATAACGCGGATAAAATAAAATCGTTATTTGGATAGTGTGGATAATATGTTTACATCCAACTGAATTTGGATAACGCGGATAATATTCCAACTACATTTGAATAAATTGGATAAGTTCAAACTTCATTTAGATAACACGAATAAAATTTTTACTTCATTTGGATAACGCGGATAATATTCTGACTAAATTTGGATAACACGGATAACATTTCTACATCATTTGGATAAAATTTGTAATTTATCTGGATAACGTGGATAGCCTTTTAAATTCGTCTGCATAACGCGGATAATATTCTGACTAAATTTGGATACCGTAAATACCTTCTAAATTAATTTGGATAGCGTGGATAACATTCTTACTTTATTTGGATAACGCGGATAATGTTCAAACTATATTTGCATAGCTTGGATAACATTCTTACTTCATTTGGATAACGCGGATAAAAATTTTAGTTCATTTGGATAACGGGGATAATGTTCAAACTATATTTGCATAGCTTGGATAACATTCTTACTTCATTTGGATAACGCGGATAACATTTTTACTTCATTTGGATAACGTGAATAGTATTTTTACTTAATTTGGATAACGTGGAAAATATATTTACTTCATTTGGATAACGCGGATAAACATTTTAGTAAATCTGGATAACGTGGATAACCTTTTTATTTCGTCTGGATAACGCGGATAATATTATGACTAAGTTTGGATACCGTTAATACCGTCTAACTTAATTTGGATAACGCGGATAACATTTTTACTTCATTTGGATAACGTGAATAGTATTTTTACTTAATTTGGAGAACGTGGATGACATTTTTAATTGATTTGGAATACGTGGATAATAATTTCAATTTATCTGGATAACGCGGATAATATTCTTACTTCATTTGGAGAACGTGGATAACATTTTTACTTCATTTGGATAACGCGGATAAACATTTTAATTCAACTGGATAACGTGGATAACCTTTTAAATTCGTCTGGATAACGCGGATAATATTCTGACTAAATTTGGATACCGTAAATACTTTCTAAATTAATTTGGATAACGTGGATAACATTTTTACTTAATTTGGATAACGCGGATATAATTTTTAATTCATTTGGGTAACGTGGATAACCTTTTTAATTCGACTGGATAACGTGGATAATATTCTGGCTCAATTTGGATAACGTAAATACCTTCTAACTCAATTTCGATAACGCGGATAACAGTTTTACTTCATTTGGATAACGCGGATAAAAATTTTAATTCATCTGGATAACGTGGATAATCTTTTGAATTCGTCTGGATAACGCGGATAATATTCTGACTAAATTTGGATACCATAAATACCTTCTAACTTAATTTGGATAACGCGGATAACATTCTTACTTCATTTGGAGAACGTGGATAACATTTTTATTTCATTTGGATAACGTGGATAAACATTTTTAATTCATTTGGATAACGTGGATAACATTTTTACTTCATTTGGATAACGCGGATAAACATTTTAATTCAACTGGATAACCTTTTAAATTCGTGTGGATAACGCGGATAATATTCTGACTAAATTTGGATACCGTAAATACTTTCTAAATTAATTTGGATAACGCGGATAACATTTTTACTTAATTTGGATAACGCGGATAAAATTTTTAATTCATTTGCATAACCTGGATAACCTTTTTAATTCGACAGGATAACGGGGATAATATTCCTACTCAATTTGGATACCGTAAATACCTTCTAACTCAATTTGGATAACGCGGATAACATTTTTACTTCATTTGGATAACGCGGATAAAAATTTTAATTCCTCTGGATAACGTGGATAACCTTTTTAATTAGTCTGGATAACGCGGATAATATTCTGACTAAATTTGGATACCGTAAATACCTTCTAAATTAATTTTGATAACGCGGATAACATTTTTACCTCATTTGGATAACACGGATAATGTTCAAACTTCATTTCGATAACTTGGATAACATTTTTACTTCATTCGGATAACGTGGATAACATTTCTACTTCATTTGGATAACCTTTTTAATTCATCTGGATAACGCGGATAATATTCTGATTAATTTTGAGTAACGTAAATACCTTCTAACTTAATTTGGATAACGCGGATAACATTTAATTATCACTTGAATGACGTGGATAACATTTGGATAACGCGGATAATACTCTAACTAAGTCTGGATATCGTAAATACCCCCTAACTTAATTTGGATAACGCGGATAAAATTTAATCACTACTTGGATAACGTGGATAACATTTTTACATCATTTGGATACTGCGGATAACATTTATAATTTATCTGGATAACGCGGATAACATTTATAATTTATCTGGATAACGCGGATAATATTCTGATCAAATTTGGATAACGCGGATAACATTTTTACTTCATTTGGATAACGCGGATAATGTTTAAACGTCATTTGGATAACGCGGATAACATTTATAATTCATCTGGATAACGCGGATAATATTCTGATCAAATTTTGATAACGCGGATAACATTTTTACTTCATTTGGATAACGCGGATAATGTTTAATCGTCATTTGGATAACGCGGATAACATTTATAATTCATCTGGATAACGCGGATAATATTCGGACTAAATTTGGATAACGCGGATAACATTTTTACTTCATTTGGATAACGCGGATAATGTTTACGTCATTTGGATAACGCGGATGACATTTATAATTCATCTGGATAACGCGGATAATATTCTGATCAAATTTGGATAACGCGGATAACATTTTTACTTCATTTGGATAACGCGGATAAAGTTTAAACGTCATTTGGATAACGTGGATAACATTTATAATTCATCTGCATAACGCGGATAATATTCTGATCAAATTTGGATAACGCGGATAACATTTTATTTTATTTGGATAGCGCGGATAAGACTTGAGTAAAGCGGATAACATATTTCAGTTGACTTGGATAACGCGGATAATAACCTAACTACACTTGGATAAACAGGATAACGAATTTCCTTGAGCATTTCTGTAGCAGTTGCAACAAAACAAAGCAAAGACAAACGAAACTTAGCTACTTACTTTTGCATAAGGATTTCTGGCCGCACCCGTCTGACGCAACGTCAAACCGGTTGCACAAACAATCGTTACAATCAACTGTAATGACGTTTGATCGTAGCCCAATTTCATCTGGAGTTCACCTTCAATGTGCGCGGGTATGGGCCCAACCATAGCTCCAGCCAGTGCGGCGTGCTGCTGATGGTGGTGGGGTAGCTGCGTCTGTTGTTGGTGCTGCTGCTGCTGCTGTTGTTGCAAAAGGAGGAGTTGTTGCTGGTGCTGATGCTGGTGTTGTGGTCCCAAACCTGAGCCATATGTATACGGCGAATGCGATGACGGTGGTGGTATTTGATGGCAATGATGGTGATGATGATGGCCCGCCGTCGTAGTTGCTGCTCCGCCTTGAAGCGATGATGCCGATGACGCTGTCGGTGGTCGATGCGGTGGTGCTGTGTGGGATGTGTGACTACTGCTACCGCTGCTGCAGCTACTAACCGACTGATTGCTGCTGGTGCTGGCGGCACTCGACAAGTGTTTTGGTCCCAAACGTTGTTGAGCTGCTGCTGCTGCGGCCGACGATGTTGTTGTGCCTGGCTCGTAGCTGCGTACATTCGCACTATGTCTTAGGTTAAGAACGCCGACGCCGCCGCCACTACTACTACCGCCACTGCTGGTGTTGGCATGAAAATCGGGCGATCCAGGCGAGGTTATGAGTACGCTCGGCTTGTCGCGATGAACTTCTATGTCATCAACTAAGGGTGCTGGTTGAGGTGAGTTGCGTAAATGGTGAGTATTTTGTTTTGTTTTTGAGACGTTGCACAGTGGTGAGTATTGCAAAAGAAAATGAAATTAAAAAATAGAACAAAAAAGTGGGATATTAATTATTTGAAGATAAATTGTGAGGCTATATAGCTAATGGTATAACTGTGTACTTAATATACGTTGGAACAAGTCAAGCAATTCGTTGACTGCTATCATAGTTTGTCTGTCTTGATCTGTCGTTATTTTTTGTGTTTAAAGCTGTTGCCATATTTGCAAATGGGTTATAACCTATTTATCCGAATTAGTGTTGATATAAAATCTAATACTGATTTTTGTTTTTATTAATCCGATCAGACTTTTATCCATGAAAATGGAAGTGAGTTATGATGAAAATACGATTACTCAATTATATTGTAAATAATATACGTCATTTGGATGAGGCGGATCAATTGCTCTTTTCAATAAATACGTCTTAACACCCAGAATTTTAGGTTGGCCATCAACATTCCCGTGGATGAAATTCTAAAGTTATTGGAAGAGTATAAACAGTGTTCCCAGGTTATTTGGATAACTTAACCAAAATATTTTAGTTTGGATAAGGTGGATAATATTCTAGCATCATTTGAATAATATGAAATTGGGATGATTCTAATTTAATTTGTTTTGGATAAAGTGGATAATACTTTAACGTCCTTTATACCCTCCAACATAGTATGGAGGGCATATTAAGTTTGTCATTCCGAATTATACATTTTCGAGCCCACAAAGTATATATATTCCTGATCAGCAAAAAATTCTATGTCGATTTAGCGATGTCCGTCCGTCAGTCCGTCTTTCCGTCTGTCCGTCTGTGGAAATTAATCTAGCTTCCGAACGAATTGAAGTAGATTGATACAATTTTACTCAAATGTATGTTATGTCTGCAGAATTTTTGGTATTGAAAATAGGCCATGTAGATCCACGTTTTGGTGTAGCCCCCATATAACGGTATCTCCGGATATTCGGTATATTGATGATTTTAGCTACATTATTCACCGGAATGGTTCCAAATTTGGTATTTGATGTTCGTAATGGCTGCTACAGCCTATTAGGGAAAATTGCCTGTGCAGGTCCACGTCTTCGTATAGACCCCATATAACGGTACCTCCCGATATACGGTAGTTTGTTGTCTTTACAACATTTTTACTGACTGATATAGCTTAATGGCTGCTTTAGCCTATGACAGAAAATTGTTTGTGCAGGTCCACGTTTTCGTATAGCCCCCATATAACGGTACCTCCCTATATTCGGTATTTTGATGATTTTAGCTACATTATTCACCGATTTTTTTTATGAGAAAAGTTACCTATGCTGGTCGATGTCGTCGTATAGACCATAATGTAAAAGCTACATTCGGATTTTAACAGAATTTTTAACGGATTTTATTTTTTATAAAATTGCCAAATTCGTCCCAAATGGTGGAGGGTATTCAAAGTTCGGCCCGGCCGAACCTACAGCTTTTTTACTTGTTTTAGATAACGTGTATAACTGTTTAGCTTCGTTTGCTTAACGTCGATAGAATTTAATTTTTTTCTGGATTACATTCATAAAATTTGGATAATGTGGTTAACATTCACATTTGGATAAAGTGGATAACATAACATGGCAATGTAATGCAAATGGATAACATTTAAACATCATTTGGATAGCCTGGATACGTCCAAATGTCACTTGGATAAAAAAGATAACACTCAAACCTCGTTTGGTAAGGGTGGATAATTTATTCGGATAAAGTGAATTACATTCAAACTTTATTTGGATAATGTGGATAAAAAAATCCAATTTCAAATGAATAATGTGCATCACATTGTAAGTAAATTTTACTAGAGTTGATATTATTTTCATTTGGATAATTTTATCCACATTATCATTACATCTGAATGACATGGAAAAATAACAACCTCGTTTGAATAAAGTGTATAACACTATCATTTCATTTAGACGATGTGGATTGTAATGGAGACTATTATAACCTCATTTGGTTAATGTGGATTCCATCCCAATTTCATTTGAAAAACATTGAATCTATATTAAATTAATTTGGATGAGGTGGATTCCATCCTACCTTCATTTGAATAATGTGGATGCTTTTGTAACTTCAATTCCACAATTTGTGGATCTTATTCGAAAGTCATTTTAATTACTTGGAGGGTATTTTAATTTTATATGGATAAAGTGGATTCTACTTTTACTTCGCTATGATGGAATCTATTTGCTCCTCATTTCCATGTCAGGGATCCTATTCGTATCTAATTTTAACAACGTGGGTCATATTTTAAATTATTTGGATAAATTGGATCTTATTCCGACTTCAACTGGATAACGTGGATCCTGTTAATAATAATGAATAATAATTATAATTCCAACTTCATGTGGTTAACGTGGATCCTATTCTAACTTCATTTGTATTACATGGATCCTAATTGAACTTAATTTCGCTAAGGCTGATTTTATTAGAACTGCATTTGCATAAAGTGGATTCTATTAGAATTTCATTGTAATAAAGTGGATTCTATTGAAGTATGGACCCTATTCTAACTTCAAATGGGTATTATTCTAACTTCATTGGACAATGGGGATTCTATTCTAATTTCATTTGTGTAGCGAGGATCCTATTCGAAACAAATTTTAACAATGTGGATAATTTCAGTAACTTAATTTGGATCCTATTCAGACTTCAACTGGTCAGGGTGGATCCTATTAATAATAATGGATAATAATTATAATTCCAACTTCATGCGTATAACGTGGATCCTATTCTAACTTCATTTGTATTACTAAGATCTTAATTGAACTTTATCTGCATAAAGTGGATTAGAATTTCATTGTAATAATGTGGATCCGATTTAATTTCATTTCGATAAAAATATGGACCCTATTCTAACTTCAAATGGATCATATGGGTATTATTCTAAGTAAATTTGTATAGCCAGGATCTATTCTAAATTGATTTTAATAACCTAATTTGCATGAATTCAACGGCATAATGTGGATCCGAGTAATAATAATGGATAAAAATTATACTTCTAACTTCATGTGGATAATTTGGATCCTATTCTAACTTCATTTGTATTAAGTGGATTCTGATTGTACTTCATTTGGGCAATGTGGTTTTGTATAACATCAGATGGAAAATGTGGATTCCATTCGAATTTCTTTGTAATAACGTGGATGCTAATTAAACTTCATTTGGATAACGTGGATTATATTCAGACTTCATATGGAAACAATGGATCCTATTCTAATATCAGGTGGATCACATTGGTCCTATTCAATCAGGATTTTCATAACTAGGATTATATTTTAACTACATTTGGAAATGTGGATCCTCTTCTACTTTCATTTTGACCAAGTGGATCCTAATTTATAATTTCATTTCTGTCAAGTAGAACCTATTTGAACATCGTGGTTCCTATTCTTCTGTCATTTAAGTCGAGCTTATTATTTTGATTAACGTGGATCCTATTCGAATTTTTTAAATAAAATGGGTCCTATTCGAACTTAATTTATATAAGGTGGATTCTATACTAAGTTTATTTAGATATCGCTTGTAAATTGTTAATTTTGGGACAACAAGGATATATTTCTTAATATTTCGTAGGTAGCATTCAAGCTTCTTTTGGATAAATATAATATATCTACCATAGATTATCTGGTTAACGTGGATTACATTCGTAAGACGTAAAAAGGTAAAAATCTGAGAAGACCGAATGAAGATATTGCCTGACCTGTGATATTGAAAAATTTCTTACTGAATTTGGGAAAACTGGGAAGATAATATGTTTCTGAAAACAATAAGCGATCGCGCGTGATTTGGTAGGTGTGAAGAATTAACTCAAATATCTGCAAAACAGGGATAAATATTTTACTAAATCTGGAAAAAATTATTATTTCACCTTATCTGGAAACAACATAAATGTCCCCATCGTAATATGGGTAGAAGAGATAAGGGGTACAATTTGACGACATTTTGATTAATTGTATAACAATTGGATTAAAGAGAGAAAACTCAAGGTCTCTTGAATAACAGCGTAATATCTCCAAGATAGGATAAATAATTTTGAAACCGATTTTATGTTATTTCGGCGGGCATTCCTTTCTTTTAAATAAAGCTCTGACATTGTTTCGATGATGTTAAAAAAGCTCTCTTTAATAAAGCCTTGATTGTAATTGCAGGCATGTAATAAACTTTTCGTCTCATAACGGTCAATTCTTGGGATGATTTTTTACATTAGCACGACTTAAAAAAAGCTTAAAGTCTTTTGAGTAACATGGTTTAAGCTTCAGCACAAAATGGATTAAGTTCGGATAAATTGAGCTTAATTTAGACAAACTGTTTCTGCCTTGAGTGAAAAACGTTCAATTAATTTGACAAAGAAATCAAATATATATGTTAATTAGATCAATAAATAATTCAAGTCCTGTTGGGAAATCTGACATGTTTTTCCATACATTTAAAAGCCGATAATAAAGCTTATATCTTAACGGCTCTAAGGCTTCGACACCAGATGGATAATGTTGGAAAATATATAACTTTATTTTTAAATAATTTCCATGCCCTGTTTAAAGATTTCAGATCACTTCGATGGTATTCAAAAAAGCTCACATGTAGTAGAAATAAAGCTTTAAAATTGCATTGAAGAAAATTAACTAATATTCATGTTATAATGATCAATATATAAGGTCTATTTTGAGAAATATGTGGTAGCTCTACAAACATTTGAATAAAAAAAATTCGATATACGATGAATAATGTGGGAACATATTATCCATGGTACAATGAAATAAAAGTAACCCCATTTCAAATTAGCATTCCCAGCTCTGAATTTTCTGTAATTTACCTTGTCAAATTTCAATGCTTAAAAAACAGTTCCCACCTCTGATTTTGTGTGCATACAAGGGATTTATGAATATAGATTTTGACAATGAGATATTGTCAAATGTATAAATTTGAAAAAAAAAAAATTGTAAGCACATGATTACCGTCGTTATCGTTATTTAGAAAAAAATGTTCATGCTTTGAGTAAAGCTTATTATGAGTTTTTCGATTCGAAAAAGTTAAATGATGAAATTGTTAACAATCGCAGAAAATGTTATGGGAATTTTGGGATCGCTCTCCGAACAATTGTGTAAAAAAGAATAAAGCTTTGCGTATTTGGGATAAAGTCGTTAAAGCTCCGACAAACACAGACACATTATTCACACAGACGTCTCATTATATTAAAAAAGCTCCCACATAATGTAAAAAAAGCTTCTGTGAATGTTCCACATACAATGAGCAAATGTTCAATGTGGTAGGGTTAAATCCCTTTTAAAAGCTAGGGGGATTCGTCAAACATTTGTATAAAAGAGATAAAAGCTTGGTCGAAGTTCTGACACAAGATTGATCAAGTGAAACTTTTTATGTATCGAATAAGGCTTAAACATGATTTCGATAAGGTTCAAAGAGCTCATATATTTGTATTTATTGTAGAAAATTGATCGGATGATTCCGTAATTATGCTTAAAATGAAGTTCTTTGGGAACTTTCGGACGATTCTCCTGACATTTGTAGAAAAATAATGACATTTTACATTTAAATTTTTAAAAGAAAAAAAAAAAAAATGAAAATTTTCTTATTTTTAGAGAAGCTTTCAAATGATTGTAATAATATTACAATGTTCTTACGTTATGTTGATAAAGCTTTTAATACAATTGCAAAAAAATGATCACATGTTCATATTATTATGGTCAATCAATAATTGAACTCTAGCAATAATTTAACTTTGGGAGCTTTGGAATTGATTCTACACCTTATTTATATAAAATAAAATAAAGCTTAACGTCTTTTGCATATAATTGTAAAAGCTTCGATCCTGGACGAATAATATGAAAACCCATTAAACGTTTTAGACAAACTTCAAACACTCTGAGTAAAGCTTTGCTTAAAAAGCTCTTGAATTTTATTTATTTTTGAAAGTTTACTCCACTTCTCTTGCAGGTTGTTCTAATTGAAGCATGTATCATTGAGTTCCCTCTGCCCCCAATATCTCATTATTTTTCCTTTTATAATTATCCTTCAGAAAAATACTCCCTCCCTTTCCCGAAAATCACATACAAATACACCCACACATTAATCATTTTCAACTCTTATATATTTAAATACCTTTTCGTTGAACATAACGGCCGCCACTGCTGACCACAGCACTGCCGGCTATGTAGCTGGCCAGCGTACTGCTCGGTACTTTGCGTATTGCCGTTGTGGCAGTGGACGCGGCCGTTGCATTAACAGCATTTGGCACTGAAGTGGAGCACAAGCTGGCACTGGTGGCCAACGCGGCAGATGTGCCCGGTGTTGTTGTTGTTGTTGACGACGTCGATGTGGAAGCATTAATGGGCCGCGAGACCACCAACTCAACTTGGGCATCCAAACGGCTTTCGTCGATAATATCATAGACTTCGTCGGCGGTTTTATTTTGTAGGACATGGCCATTCCATTTGACAATTTCATCGCCTGTTCCAGTGATCCAGTTGAATTATGAGAGTACATAGTGTGGGAGGGGGGTCAAGGTGTGAGATGCATTTATGTAAAAGTGTGTGGGTGTCAAGGCAGGGGATGAGAAAAAAAAGAAAGATTGTTTTTTTGCGTTTAGGACATTGTGCTGTTGTTTTGGCTTTTGTTGTTTTATTTTACCTGGTTGAATATGACCCTCTGTGTCGGCCACCGATCCACGTTTGACTTTCTCCACAATAGCACCATAACTCACAGATGTGGCACCTGCAGCAACGGCAGCAGCACTACCACCACCAACACCAATTCCATTATTACCACCAGCTACGCCAACGGCTTGACTATTATCATAGGGTAGAGGTTGGCCACCCAGAACTTTTAAGCCTAAAATATCTTCGCCATCATAGTATTTTCTTAATATCATATGACCAATCATGCGAGCATTATCCGCCGATATTTGCCAATTCACCGGTTGCTATTTTGGGGAGGTTTTTGAGGGCGAAGTTTTTTTTCGATTTTTTTGCATTTGTTTTTTGGGTGGTGAGGTTTTGGAATTTTGGTTGGTCATTCATTATGTATGGAAGATTTGTTTGAGGTTTGGGATACGGGTCATAGTTGAGGTCAAGTGAGGGTGAAATTGCAAAAGTGATTTTATTTGTTTTTTGCAATTTTGAGATTTTTGTTTTTGGTTTTGTAAATACATAATGGGAATGGATAAAATTTCGATTATAAACATGATTTTGACAAAGACACTTAGCTTGGTTGATTTTTCATCTTAAAATTAAAAACCAAAAAATAAATAAAACACAAACAAAAAATCTTCTACTTCACTGGGTTAGTAAATCCTTGCAAAATTAACAGAAAATAAAGAAATCATTTTTTACAAGTTTTTTTTGTTTTATAGAGATGTAGAGTTGGTAGATACATCCTTTTCGTAGATGTCTTCATTCTTTGTTTAGAAATTTTTTTTCTTTACCAGTTCGTATAGAGAAAACAAAGCTTAGTCTAGAGTAAAGTTTCCAGGCTTACACCGAAAATGTTATCATATTATTATTTATTTAGAAATATTTAATTAAATAAACGCACATTTGTTGGCAGAGAACACATACGTAGTTGAAACTTTTTTTTATTTGGATTTGCAATAGACATCAAATTTAGGAAAAATGCATTGAGATGTGAATTCGTTACACTGTGGTAGTGAAAAATAATAATTGAAAAAAAAAAAAAAATAGAAAAATAAACATGCAAGAAATGTAATTGGAATTAAATTATTTTTAAGTGATTTCATGTAGGAAAAATTAATAGACTTATTAAAAAGGTCCTAAAAATTCTCAAAGCCAAATCTTCCAACCCGACAATGACCTATCATTCGTGCTAATGCTTTGAGATTATGTTTTTATCAGCCTTTTATAATTGCTTTTCCCCAGTAGCTTGGGTATATAAAAATGCGTAATTTTTGGCAAGTTGTAGATATTTTTAATCTAAATACAGATTAAAAAATTGGTTCAAATATTAAAAAAAAAAAAAAAACAGTAAGGAAAAGTCAAAAGTCGGGTGGGGTCGACTATATGATACCCTACACCACTATGCATATTTAGTAGAGCTCCCGTAACAAAAGAATTTATTTGAAGTAGATCATACCACCTATCAACATTTGGCTTTAGAGCAGTTATAGTTGAGTTTCAGAGGGAACTAATATATAGGAGGCATATACCATTCTGAATCGATTTTCACGAAATTTGACGGAGGCATTTTAATCTTTTATACCAAATAACATGGCTATAGTGTGCATGATATCACTTCTAGAATGATTATATTAAAAAGATATATATCGGAGCCGAGTTCCACAAAATGAAAATGTACGTCCCGAAATTTACTCCATTTGGGTTGACATTAGCCATTATTTGCTCAATAAACCTGAAATCGGATTAAGGATATATATATGGGAGCTATATCCAAATCTTAGCCTATCTCGATAAAATTTCTGGCTCTATATGATATTTTGTACCAAATATCATTGTTGTCGAATGCATACTAAGAAAATTATGGACTTAAACACCAAATTGGATGCAACATATGTATATATATGGCAGCTATAGCAATGACTAAACCGATTCTCTCCAAATTTAATGTACTTGCTTCTAGACTGGATTCAGTCGGATGTGCTAAAATTCACACCATTTGGTGCACAAGAAACCTAAAATCGGATGAAGATATATATATATGGGAGCTATATGCAAATCTGAACCGAACTTGATAAAATTTGATCTATGAATTGCTAGGCTGTATCTGATATCTGGAGCTAAAATTCACACCATTTGCACTGATATTAGCCATTTGGTGCACAAGAAACCTAAAATCGGATGAAGATATATATGGTAGCAATATCTAAATTTTTGCCGAATATCTACAATTTCAATAAGGTTCGTCCTTGGGCCAAACAAATGATTTGTGCAAAATTTCTTTCCTTTTGTCTGTTACAAATAAATGCACAAAGACATAATACCCTGACCACCTTGTGGTGTGGGGTATAAAAAATTTATGCAGTATTTTCTTAGCTGTTTTTTTACTTGTTAACATTAAAAATTTGATAAACGTATAAAAGCCTTCCATGATGAAGCAACTTACGGCTTGACCTATTATAAAAATATTCCGCTGATTTTTATTGCAGCTGATTGGAATTGAAAATATATTTCATATAAAAATTCCCTTCCTCTACTTCTACTTTATCTACAAAAGAGACCTAAACTATGATTATGATTATTATTGTTTTATTATTGTTATTGTTATTATTATTATTGTTATTATTATTATTATTATTGTTATTATTATTATTATTATTATTATTATTATTATTGTTATTATTATTATTACTATTTTTTATTATTATTATTATTATTATTATTATTATTATTATTATTATTATTATTATTATTATTATTATGTATTATTATTATTATTATGTTATTATTTATTATTATATTATTATTATTATTATATTATTATTATTATTATTATTATTATTATTATTATTATTATTATGTTATTATTATTATTACTATTACTATTTTTATTATTATTATTATTATTATTATTATTATTATTATTATTATTATTATTATTATTATTATGTTATATATTATTATTATTATTATTATTATTATTATTATTATTATTATTATTATTATTATATTATTATTATTATTATTATTATTATTATTATTTATTATTATTATTATTATTATTATTATTATATTATTATTATTGTTATTATTTTTATTATTATTGTTATTATTTTATTATTATTATTATTATTATTATTTTATTATTATTATTATTATTATTATTATTATTATTATTATTATTATTATTATTATTATTATTATTATTTTATTATTATTATATTATTATTATTATTATTATTATTATATTATTATTATTAGTATTATTATTATTATATTATTATTATTATTATATTATTATTATTATTATATTATTATTATATTATTATTTATTATTATTATTATTTTTATTATTATTATTATTATTATTATTATTATTATTATCAATATTATTATTATTATTATCATTATTGTTATTATTGCTATTATTGTTATTATTGATATTATTGTTATTATTATTAATATTATTATTTTATGGGGGGGGGGGGGGGGGGGGTGGTAATCTCCGGACTTAAGCAATTAATTATTATTTTTTCGTGGCCGATTTCTGACAACTCCACAATCCGGGCTTACAACCTCAGACTTATATTAAGACTAGCTATATAATTTGGTACGGTCAACATCATTGAAGTAACGGTTTACACCCTAGGTGTCCTTGAAAGAAATCCGAAATCCTATTTAGCAGATAAAGCGTCGACCTAGCAAGGTTCGTCCGTCTGTTTTGTGTTACTGTTAATTTTCATATTTGAATAAATATTAGGCCAGGTGAGAAAATTGACGAAATCGGTTCAAACCTCCTGGTATACCCCGGGTTGCTCTCATGAAGAAAAAATTGTTTTTTTTTTTCGGACGACACAATACTTCCACCTATGTCAGTTCTAGTGTAAGTTTTTGACAGCGATTTTTCTATGATTTCCGATCATTTATACGATTTTCATGACCTTTTATGGCTTTCGATTAAGCTTTGTATCCCGAACTATTATTTTCAATTTTTTTTTTTCACTTTTGTAAATAAAATTAAGTTTTTCACTGTAAATTAATTTAATTCCAATTACAATATATACCAAATAAAAATGACAAAATATAAAATTTAGAATATTGTGCAGGTGCATATATTGTAGTACAGGTGCTGGAGGACATTAAGTTACAGTATATAACCAAACATGCATTGCTAGGACAATTAAAGCTATATTGTGGGACAAAAAATTTAAAATAAATAAATATATTTTTTTTTTGGAAAATATATATTTGTGTGGTTATATATAGTAAGTATATTTCATAGTATGATTTGTATGAGTTTCATTATGTGTGTCAACATGTTGCTGTGGAAAGTTGTACAAACGATGGAGATAGAGAGAGATAGATTAAAGTATACAAATTATAGAATATATAGTTTGAACTGTATATACAAATCAAGGTGTTTGTAGAGACAGTTGTTTAAAATGACCTAACATTTATATATATATTTTTAAATAAATAACTAAATAAAAAATATTTATAATATTTCATTTTTTAAGAACTCAAAAAAATATTCAAAATTTCCTAAAAATCTATAGTCTCTTATTTGAAACATAGAACATTAATTTGGAATTTTTCACCTTAGAAATAAAAAAATATCATATTTCAAAATCATTTTTAAAAAAAAAATTTCACATTTCGAAATGATTTTCATTAATGGAATACTTTTCATTGAAAATTATAAAACAAAAAAATAAATAAATAAATAAATTCTCTTCTTTACATATTTTTTTTTCTTCGGCTGTATATCACTTGGACGTGTTATCACAAAACGAGAGAGCGAGAGAGAGATAAAGAAACAGAAAAGGGCATTGTTTTTGTTCAAGTGGGAGGGTGTAACAAAAAGTACAACAAACAAAACTAAACGAAAAAAATAAATCACACAATTCAATTCCCCAAGAGAGAGGGAGAGAGAGACACATAAATCACACTTTTCTGATATTCTCATTCTCTTTTTTCCAAAATGCGTTCTTTTTACAAGGGTTATTTGTTTTCTAGCTACCTTGGGACCATCACCGCGATTCGAATCTTCACTACTGGTAAATGTACTGCTCGTATCGATTCCCGAATCCTTGGTAGCCGAGTCCTGGCTACCCTGACGTTCGGCATCCCAGCGCGACCATTGTTGTTGATTGGAAGAAGAAGAAGTCGTGTCGTTCAGTAGATGTGTGGCAGTGTTCGTGGCAGAGGAGGAAGAAGCCGAGGAATGTTGTGCATTCAGTTTAGCACTGGTCAGAATCGTGGCCGCACCTACCTCAACTGCGGTCGAGGGCAA